TGTTGCGAATATTTTTGTCACTGGCCCTTTAAGGATCGGAAGAGTGATGTCATGATTTTAGGCAGCGATGCATTGTGGGGTGGTAGGAAACGCCATTTTCGCGCAGGGAGGAACTGCTGTCAGTGGGATGCTTTTGGTCCCAATGTGTTCGTGATTACTAAACAGTACTGCCTCACAAGCACATTCCGGACCCCGTCTTCTCGGTGCAACATGTAATGCTTGGGGAGGGGGGTGGCGGCGGACATTGTATAAGATTTCCAAAAAAGAAAGTTTCTTGTCCAGGCCCTGCGAGGAGGAATTAGCGCTGAATAATATTAAGACCGTAAGCGCACTGGGTTTCCGAGCAAAGGGGACGTCGATGTGAGTCAGGCGGCGGAGTTTTTGGGAAGAGGGCAGAGGAGGGAGGCGGTCTGCTCGTTTTCGCCGGCTCGGCCTGGAAATCGGACCACATCTTGCAAGAGGAAAGAGGAGAGCTTCAGAGGGCGACGGGAGCTGCAGATCGGTGCCTCACTCCTGGAGCGTCACCATTGCGGCCGGCGAGGAGTCTGCAGGACCTGTCAGTCCGGCGACTGGATGCTACACGGAACGGTAACGAACGGAGCCTGGCAGGTCCCGGGTAGCAGGGCCAGTGTTTCTCATCACCCGTCATCCCAGCGCTGGGGCACACTGGCGGCTGGTGTGATTGTCTCTTTTCATCCGGCACTGGGGCGGGGGAAATAGTTGGAATTAGGATCCAGCGTCGAGGAGTGCTCTTGTGGTGACTCATTTGTAAAAGGCTGGTCAACTGTTGCAACACTCTTTCAAAGACATGGAGAGCTGAACAGGCAGTGGGGGTGGAAGAGAAGGAAGTACATAGTTTCGTGGTTTTTCACGAGGTGTGACGGGCGTCGCGCATTTAAGTCAGATACAGGTTATGGCCAGTCACTGGAAACACCGCGTTTCCGTCTTTTTGGGGACATTGGGGAACCGAGATTCGCCGTTTTTTTCCCCCCCTGAGGGCACCAAATCAGTTCAAGGAAAATAAACGCAATATTTACAAACTGAAGCAGGTATTAACGTTAGCTACCGTTGAAACGTTAGTTTTCCGGAGCGGACTGTAGAACACAGCTCTTCTACTAAACATGCATTAGCTTAATACGCAATGACGTACTCCTAAAAATAATTTTGAATTGGCGTCGGAAAAGTCTGCTCATTTCTCATAGAGTCACAGCTATCCATGACAGTCGATAAGGCTGAAACCTCATATCTATAATCGCTGCTCAGCATGCAGGCTGTCGTGAAACTGTTTTGATTTCGCGGCGAGGAAGAGGAATCAGGGTCACAGTGTGAGCCGTTGACAGCTCAGAGAGCGGACAGACATCGATAGGTTCTCGGCAGGAGTTTGCTCTCTGTAATCCCGGGAGAGGATTAGGGCGCTGCGCTGGTTCAGTTCGGACAGAGCGTGATTATGAGACGGTTGCACGTGTCCAGGTGTGCATGCTCCGTCTAGCTCCCGATGGATCAGAGAGCTCTGTGTAGGCTGGCATGTTGACACTACCAGGTAGACCAGATACAGTTAACAGCTGAGAGAAGGCGAAAGAAGAGGGAATGTGTTTATTTTCTGGCGGATGCTAAATGAGTGTTTTGTGCACTCCTGCTCTCTCTTTTTTTTTTTTTACTGTGTTCTGTATCCAGCTGCACGCGTTTCATCAAGATGGACAGCTGTGAAATACGCCAGGTGTAGCTGTCTTTAGGAAGGAGTGTGTTGGGTATGTGAAGGGGAAGGCAAGGTGCGACTGTGCTCACGTTGATCAAGAAGAAGTGTGCTTTAGGTACCATCCCGGTCTCATTCGCGTCCCCCGGATTGCAGTACAGATCCCCCGTCTTGGCTGGTGGGGTGCGTAACTCATTAACAGTGGGGGCATCAGTCGCTCTGACACGCGTGGGAGTTAGTCGGAAGAAGGCTGAGGGCTTCATTGCACTTGCCTCACACCCGGGATTCAGACAGGCTGAGAGAGGTTAGTGTGATCAGGGCTCGGTGTGTTTACTGCGGCGTGGACCCCGCGGAAGATCTGTGCAGTACAGTCTGCTCAAGGGGCAGACTGGGGCAGCCGCAGAGGAGTCTGTCATCAGGGCTTCAGGTTCTCCATCACAGTTCCCTCCCGTCACTCAGGAGGGGGGTGAGAGTCATTGAAATGCAGGGCACACACACTTCGCCTCAGAAGGCTGCGCTTGTGCCCGAGTTCACAGCGGTTCTGTGTTCGGCAGGATGTCTCCTTTATAAGTGGAAACTGGGCTCCCTGTGTGTAGTGCTGACAGGTGGGCTGCGTCTCCCAAAGGATTCTGCTTCGGCGTTCGTTCGACTCGTGGTTTTAACTCCCGGTCGTTTGAGTGGTGCGATGCTAAACGACACGGAAAAAAGGTAAAAAAAAAAACAAACCTACATCAATTATTTCATGTTTAACTCGTTCGGACGTTGTGAGACATTGCTGGTTTGGCATGGAAGGATTATTCGTGATGTCCAGTTTCGATAGGCAGTGTGTGATCGCTGTGATGTGATCGAGCTCTCCAAGAACAGTCTGTTATACAATCGTGAACACAGATATGTATTTGTACCAAGGGAGCATATTTGGGGCAGACTGTCAAGTGCAAGAGAGCTCTCCTCCTCCTTGTTTTATCAATCTCCCTCGAGGACTCGGTACATCATATTGCTTTTTGATTAGCAGAGTTAAAAAGCAGACATCCCTCAGGCTTGGGTCTAGGTTTGTGACTCTTATGGATTTTGACGCTTTAGGCCTAGTGCAAGAATAAAGTGACCAAGCCTGAGACCCTGACTCAGACTGGTCCATTGCAGTTCAAGTACCGATTCACGGCAGCAGGGTTTGTCTCTTGAAGTTGGTGGGCAGGTCTTAGCTTTGATCTAATCCAGGTGTTGCTGTACCGCTGCACAGAGGCCATGCGAGTCCAGATCTCTCTTGACGCGCACCCTGTGCTCCATGTTTGATACTGGAGATAGTGAAATGACTTGCCGTCCTTTTTAATTAGAGGACTAATTAATGGCTCTGGCCTCATGCTTTCATCAGCCTTTTCCTTTATGGCTGTTTTTCACAGGTCTCCCAGCTGCAAACTTTATTTTCACTGCAGGCACTCTTCATTTGCAAAGACGAAAAAGAAAGCCGAGCTGATTTTTTTTTCCCTACGAACCCTTGGACGGAAACGACTGCTAACGTATCGGTTCGGGTCTCCCCCCTGTTTGAGCAATTCAAAGACAGGCTTGCAAGTGGTCGAGCACAGCAGTGCCTGTCCTCTTCTTTAACAGCTGAAATAACAGCCTTGTGCTCCACCCAGCTCCAGCTGCTGGTGGTCTTATTATTTCTGAACACAGATTTGGAAAGTGTCTCCATGAGAGTGTCTCCGGGTGTGACTTGCTCCACGATCGCACGAGGAATAACCTGAGACGGTTTAGAGGAAGTCATTCCGACCTGATTCCTGGTTTCAGAGGTGTGGTTGAATGCAGTGCACGGGCTTGGCCCAGCTGCTGTCAGTCAGGCAGACTGAGAGGTGGAATGCTGAAGGATTAAAGTGACTCTTGTTTTTTTTAAGGTTTATTTTAAACGCAGGGTAAGCACGAGGCAAAGTAAGGGACACAAGTGCTGGCGCATCGATTCAGACGTTGGGCTGAGGGAAGATAAACAGAGATCATGGTGGAGCTGGATGTTCTTTGCTTCCTTTCCTTCCTCTGTTGTCCCTGAATGTTAGCCCTGTGCTCAGGGGACCATTCTAGCTTATTTTTTTTCCTAGTGCAGATCCAATTAGCTTCAAAGCACTAAAACCGCGCAGAGTAAGCTTCAGATATTAAAAAGCCCTGAGCTCTAGTGAGTCTGTGCCAATTGGTACCATTGATTGCAGTGCCTTTAGGTTTGATGCTGGTCCCATAAAGTGTTGAGCTACTGGGGCATTCCCTAGCCAGTAATACAAT